TGAGGATGGCTTCCACAATAAATATCCCTTGCGCGAGTATCGAATATTTTCAAGCCCACATTACCTTTAAAATAGATAGCAACTGCAGTACATCCTGTTGTCAAGACAAAATTGTTGAAATTTTTGGATAAAAGTGATTGAAAGGCTCTTCAGTCTTGAACACATTTAAAAGTATAGGTAATTCTGTCTGCATTAAAAATGATTGTCTGGTTAACTGAGAGAAACTTGAAAACAACTTATTTCCAATACTCATTATTGACAAGAGATCATTAGCCGAATTGATTCCTTGTTTGTTATTGTAAATCAAAGAGCATAAACTCATTGCAACACATTGTTGTCCTGAATTTTGTCCAAATACCAACTCATTAGCTTGGCTATTTGGTGCCATTATTAATTTGCTAGGGTCAATGTACATTGGAGTAGGACCAGGATTTTTCTCAACATCTGAACTCAGTTGAAATTTTCAATAGTTTGATGCGTGTGTCTGACTCCTATAAAGACACAAGGGTCTATTACAAGAAAACATTGATAAATACCACCTTGCTCAATACTTCAATTTCATTGTCCTCTGATATACCCCTCACCCCTCACTGAACAATTTAACAAATACTTCTTAACATCTTTTGTACCTTTATTTAATCTTACCCTCTTCGTATTAAGCTTACAAATATTCTTGGACGAATATGCTTGGACGAATCCGTAAATAAACAAATTCCTTCAGTTTTCTGCCCTTTCTTCTGAGACGTTCCAGAGTAGCTTCTGGTATTCTACTGGGTTCTCGATCACGTCTAAATACACGGTTGTGTTTACATGTAAACATAATATGACATAACTCATTTGATATAGCAGGTTTCACTTGTTATTTCTCGATAAAAGGTTCACTCATAAAGGATCGCTCGTAAATTGATCTGTCGTAAAGTTCGCGAAACGACCCGTCCCCAGATCCCTCCACAACATTTAGTGCAGTTCTACCACGAACGGTGTGTGACTTTGTATATACAGTGGGCGTAATTGCCATCGAATTTCTTTTGGGTACATCAAGCTAGGAATTGTCCACGAAGACAGCCATTTGCGCTTTAGGGTTCATTGTACGCATGCGCGTACATTGTACGCATGCGCTGTAGTGGAATTTCGTTTTGTGACTGAACGCGAAAAAAAATAAAAACACAGCCGAATTTATACCTTGGGCGTTTCCTTCGGAAAGCCCGAGTAATCAACATTCTCGCAGCGATCGACTAAATGAGCGGAAGTCGAGGATTCATTTTGTAAGACGCCGCTGACATATCGATGGCTCATCTGGTTTAGGTCGATGTTATCTGGTGCCTTCAGAAGACTGAGGGGGAAGAATGAAATTGTACCACGACCACTGAGAGGGTTCTGTCCTCGTGTACCGGTTCACTAGAGCCGATACAAAAGACCGAACAATACGCAACAGCTAACCAGTGACTCCTAAACAAAGAAAGAACAATGGTAATTCCCTTGTGAACCGGTACACCAGGACAGAACCACTGGGAGGATAAGTGAAGGTCAAAAAAAAGGAGAGGAGAGGGAGTGGGGCACTTTTTTCTCCTCCCTTCCCTCCCCGTCAACTCGAACTCCAATCGAAAATGGCCGGTTTGCAAGTACGAACCAATCAATGTCATGCCCTAACTGGGGGAGCCCGGGCATATCCAGGGGCTATTGACATTTTTGGAAAAAAAATTGTCAATAAGCCCCTCTGGAGGGCCTTATTACAATGACAGTAGGCCCCTCACAAGAAGGAAAGATACACGTTTCAGTGGCGGATCCAGGGGGAGGGTCTGGAGAGTCTGGACCTCCCTACCAGAGGTGACGCTTACAACTTTGAGACTGAAACTCTTACATCGACAGGATTGTATATCACTATTTTACTGGCTGATTTTTTAATAAATCCAAGTAAACGGTAAGCAGCCAAGGAATTTTAACGTGCAACCGCGAGTGGTGGAAGGGGGTGTGGGGGAGAAGTAATTTGCCTCAAAAGTGTCCAACAGTCCTTTCTGAACCAAAGTTTGGACCCCCCAAATCAAAAATTCCTGGATCTGCCTCTGTGTTTAATTTATCTAAGGAATACCAGGACACTGAGAGGTATATTTCCTCAACAGAAGTTGAGGAGTATACGACGATGCCACGAGCGAGAATGTCAAACAAAGTTTCAACTTTAACTTTGTTTTCCTATTTATATATGCACAGAATGTGCAGAAATTGAATGAAAACTTACTGTACTGGCTATTAAAAAATGAAAAATAAACAAGCTGAATGTATTTAATTTTTTTCTTACATTTTTTACTTCTGTTGACGTAGTTGGCGCGAAAGCCGCCTTTTTGATTTACGCCAACTCGACTCTCTTTCCCAGTCCCTCTCTGACGAAACGGTCAATAAACCCTACCTTGGGGTGAGCCCTGTGTCAATACAAGTTTACAGCCCCTCCACCAGGCAAGGTTTTTTTTTCAATAGCCCGTGTATGCCCAGGCTCCCACGTTGGGGCAAGACATTGATTGGTGATAACGTTAATAGGTCCCAATCAAACGCCTGCATTGTAAGCTAGCCCATATCGAGCCAAGGCAGGAGGGCTCCTGGACCAGAAATTTTGTTTGTTCTAAAGCTATCAAAATTTTTTTGCTCTCGTACAAATGGCTAAACGAGTCATGTGACCGGATTAGTCACGGAGCGGATATCGAAAAAAATTAGTTTCGTCCTATCATTGCCACAGAGAAGGTCTGACACTTGATTCTGGTAGAGAAAAATTTCCTTAACAACACGAGGCAGCTCGTAGAATTGAATGGTAGTATAAGTTACAAAACACAGCCGGAGTATTTAGATTTAACATGGAAACGAGGCCGAAATTTAATGTGTCCTTGTAACACTTTAATTGTGGCTATGCCTCTAGAGTGCACCTTCTCTGTCATGTAGAATATGCATATTATTTTTTCGAAATATTTCTGTTTAACCCCATACTACACATTTTTTCGAAATGTTCCTGTATAACCCCAGACTATTCTAGAAACAAAGCTGGAGTCCAAAAGACAACCTACTGTTGTTTGGCTTTGTTATTTTGTATCAAAGAACTGAATACATAATAAATTACAGTGTTGCAAGGAAACCTTATCACAACAAGGCTACCAAAATTCCTATGCACTAACTGCTCACACAAGAACTGTCAGAGTGAATAATTTGATTGGAGCACTTCTGCATGAAGTGTCAAAAAAAAAAAAAAAACAGTAAACAAAATGACCAATTAAAGCCAAGGAAGGTCTCTTTCTCAAACTAAGGGTTTCAACCAATCAGAAATGGCCTGACAGACACCACAAGTCGAGAGGGCTCAAGGTGTCAAGGTATACATACAGGGTTTTAATAAACTGTTAAAAAAATTGTCTACAAGTGTAAGTTTTATCTTAATGCTCCAGGAATTTTAGCGAGAAACTAAAGTAACCCACTTTGGGTCTTATACCTCAACCTTTACACCCTAACATAGTATGCAAGTTTTTCATAATGTTCCCTCTACATTTCCTATGGTAATTAGGAGGAGAATTTATCTATCAAGAACTTCTTGAGTTTGCAATCATTTTCATCAGTCCAATGATCATGTATGATTTAGGGGTAACACTGTTGGAATGAATTAAATGCTTGACTCTCTTTGGTGTTGAAGGGTCAAAAGTGACAACTGTTAGTTACTCAAGACTTTGGATCAAAGCTGTATAAATGTGTTTAATGCTATGACAGCGCCTTGGTATATGATATAAGCAATTGGTCAACATACACTAGCCTCTTTAAATATTATGTACAAATTTCACTATGGGCCTTTACATGATTAACTATCGTACAAGTGAGCTGTGGTAACTTTTCTGAGTTCAGAGCAATGCTACAAAGCATTTCTAAGCTTACCAATGCAAATATAGGAATATTTATTTTCATAACAATACAATTTTGAAGATATCTCCTTAACGAGTCATCCAAACTCATTCTTCAGTCTTGGAATGCTAAATGTGCAGCTCAGTGTGTGGAAAAAGTAGACAAGGTCCTTAATTTCAAAAATAATACTGGAAAAGTGTTGAAGGTGCAATATTCGAATTATACTCATTACATCTGATAGTGCCAACAAAAATACTCCCACAACATCCTGAAAGTGTGAATACAATTAATTGTAAAATTATTTTGCTGGATGTGAAATACACTGCCACACATTTGTTGACATGGCCCTCCCATAGGATGGATTGTAGTTATGTTCAACAAGCAACAAAACTGAAAGAGGAAAGTCTGTAGGTACAGTAAGAAAGTACCTAGATCTGTACATGCCACACTGACTCTCTTATTCAAGACGACCCTCAAGGAAACTACATTTGATACACAAATGCCTAATGGAACTTACTCACACAGGGGAGCAAAATTACTGTTACTTCTTCCAGCATACAATTATTTCAATAATTTTAGAGATATTTTAGCAATCCAATGTAAGAACTAGTGATAAGTTGGAATGGTTTCTAAACCATGTCATGAATTTTCTCTCTCTCTTCTCAACAGACTTCACAAGAGTTTGCAAAACATTACAAATGTCAAGAACATAGAATCACAACAATATAATAATCAATATATAGAGATATATGTATGTATATATCAATTTCAACAGCAAAATTTCTATAATCACCGTAAGGGATAATTGGAGCTTGACTAAAAAGTTAGGCTAAGATCAAGATTCCATGACCTCTTCTCGGCACACAGGACAGGTTCGATTATTCTGAAAACCAAATTCACAACATTAATACAAAAGACTATATACACAGTTTCTGGTTTACTGATAGCATGCACATTGACCCTTAACAGCTACAACTTATACTAAAGTTTTATTTCAGCTTCCTGGGCTAAACCTTTCCCATTCCCAATTTTTTTTTTCACAACTGTTTGCTGAAGGTAAAAATAACATTTTTGAATAATTCCTCTGACTTTATCTTGACAATTATTCATTATCACTCAATACCATTCACTTTGCTTTCAGCAAATAATTGTTTCAATATAACTCAGCTTGAGTGAAAAACTATTTCTTTGCCTCCAAATTGTCACACATCCAAGAACAGAGACAGAGTCTGGCCCATAGATAAAGTGTAGAGGTCGTCAAAACCTTTGTTTGCAAGGAAGCACTACGCTAGTCAAAATGTCTCTCAAGAAGCCAATTGTAGCCAGTTCAGTCCCAAGACTTAATAAATGCTCATGTTGTAAATGTCACAATTGATTGTTGAAAGATGTCAAAGAATCCTTGACCAATCAAAGTGCAAGAATCTATATTTTCTGGTTCAATGCAGTACGGAAAGCCCCTCCAATCTCCTCCGAAAACTTTTGTGGGTTTTGATTGATACCGTTTAATGGAGGTGATGAGCTTGAGCCCAAATCTCTATCATGCTGAAAACCATAAGGCTTGGTTTTTACTACCACATTTGTGCCAGCATAAGCAAAAGTATGAATGTTTTTACTGCCAGCACCCACAACACAAATACAAACAAATTCTCAGAACAAAATTTATAAGAAACTTTCATCATGTTAGGCATGCCTTGATGTATATGTTGTAGTTCAATTTTATCCTTGGTTCAAACTTTAATTTCCTTTGTTTCAAACTCATTATCATACATTAACATGACTGAGAACAAAGGAAAATAAAATTTGAACCAAGCATAAAATTGAACTATAACATATACACACGCCACCACCACACTACCATTGGTACTAGTGCTTGTATTGAAGCAAAATCCAAGCTTACACTTAACCATAAACAGGGTTTGTTGCTAAGCACCAGCTGCCAGTGGAATTTGTCAGATGAAAAAGTGGTGATTGCTGCTGGGATTTCTAGCTGGTGATTGCTTGGTAAAGCACAACAGCACTTCTGAGGTTATTCATTTACAATCATTAACCACATCTGAGCCTCCTCACTTAAAAATTTCAGCCAGCAGCATAAATTCTTAGCTACAACCCTGCCTAAAACACACTAAAAATCCCAGATCAATAGTTTCTTCACTGGTGATTTAAAATCTTTGAAATAATCAAATGATTGACAAAGAATGAAGTGCACTGTTACCTTCAGCCAGCGATCAATACATTTAGCATGGAAATCGTGATTACAAGGTAGACGTCGTAACTTTTCACTCTTGCTGTAATCGCTCATACACACCACACAGTTTCCATTGGAAGAATCTCGTGAACTTGCACTGTAGCGGAAACTTGGAATATTATCAATTACTGAAACAAGAGCAACATAGAAAACTGAGACTTACAGCCCAATTTCATTGCTGGCAGTGATAATAATAGAGGGTGTTAAATGGAATTTTTAAGCGCTTAATCTACAATTAAAAGTTTGACTTCACAAGATTTGATTGAAAACAAAAACAATAAATATTGCAATGCATCTCACTGAAATTATAAAATTGTACGAGTTATTAAGAATGTTTCAGAGGAAGCCTACAAAACCACCTACTGTACTGATACAAAGGCTTGATCCAATGGCTTTGCATTAATAAAAAATTAAGACTGAGTTGATCAAAACTGAACAAAATAAATTCACGTTGAACAAACTTATATAAGTGGCAATGTATTAGCTTGAGTACAAGATATTTTTCAAAATAGAAAAGAATACACTATGACAGAGGGGTTATGGTAAATCTTGACTTAAAGTACCTTCTTTGCTGAGCCCTCGAGCCTTAGCTAGTCCTATCCTCTCACTGAGATTCCACAAGGCCTGGAACAGGATAAGCAATCAGTCATTTAGTAATAACAAGTAGTATACTCATCTGTCTACATTCTGGTGCAGTTGTTAGTATAGACTTACTATAGAGCAAAACGGACAAGTGCCAATAACAAAACTTCATAAACTACAGTGCTGAAAAGAAAATGACACAAAAAGTGGCGATGGGTTTATATGTGAAGTGTAATTAGCCCAAATTTTTCATGAAGGTAAGGTAAGTTGAGCTTCGAACTTGTCCCTTTTAAACTCCTGATGTGTGAAATACTATTTAAACATGTGTTGCATGAATTTCTCTAAAAATTTGTGCCTGAAATGGGATCCAGACCCCTCCTTGCCACCCTCAGATCATTCCATGGGAGGTGTGCACAAACAATTTTTAATCATGAGCTGTGATGCAAGAAAAAAAAAAACCAAGGAGCGAGCACAGCCAACAAACAATAATACTTCATGGTGTAAATCTCAGTATGTATGAAACCAAACATAATTCTCCTTTACCTCATAATCTTCTCCTTCAGTTGAATGCCCCAAGGTAGAGTCCCCATAATGATGAAGAGGTGGGGGAGGAAATGACACAACAGACCTACAAATAAAACCAAAATCATATTTTAATAGACAGGCAATGAAAAATTACCATATATATCAGGGATTTCATTTGAAGCCAGCAACTGACATTCCAGTGGCTACTCTCCACAACAGAGCCGGCTAGTATGACCATTTGACTTCCCAGTTTTTGTTTTTTGTTTTTTTGGAAAACATTCAATATATTTACGTATGATGCACGATCCTCGCAGTAGATAGCGCTATTTAAGCAATAGCGAAAATCAGACCTGAAAAAAATCAGGCCTGTACGGGACTCGAACCACTGACCTCTGCGATACTAGTGCAGCGCTCTACCAATTGAGCTAACAAGCCAACTGGGAGCAGGTCGTTAAGTTGATTCATAATAAACCCGTGAAAGTGATAAATCAGTACAATGAAATATATGAAGTTCATATATTTTGAACTGCGGTATTAGAAACGTATGATGCGCGATCCTCGCAGTAGATAGCGCTATAGATAGCGCAGTCATCAATAAAAGTGTCTTTTTTTTATATTTGTCTCCTTTTGGTTGTTGGGTGAATTTTGTAATGAGTTCTAACAACTCAATCAACAACACAATCAGTTTGCTGTGCACCATGTTGAATGGACAGAAGAAAAAGACTGGTGACAAATCTGCCTCAATCACCGCAGAACTGTCTTCTGCCTAATCATGTCCTAATATCCATCCTACTGGTACTTCTAAAATCAATGAAATCCCTGACAAATCCAATACATGCACATCAGTTGCTGCTAGATTACAGGAGGAAAAATCTTACATTGGATAATACATTTTAAGGACTTCTTTCATTCATTTAAAAACAATTTATTTTGTACCATGCACAGTACATGTGAAACTTCTCAAATTTAACACAGGATACCAAATTTACTTACACAAATGGCAGAAGCAGTTCTGGAAAGGCTTGGCTGGCAAAAGTTGAGTGGATTGGACGTCTGCGTCGTACCTGTAGAGAAGGTGCTGGTGGCTGGTGCTACAAAAAAGAACAATGTATGACTACATGTATAATAATCAGCTTGTCATCAATGCAGTCTTGTTCTTCTTCAGGTCATTTTTTATTAAGTATATTTACACAGGCCTCCATTTAAACCAGTCTTAGCTATATTAGACTAGCAGGTAGAAATATGGCTTAAGATAAAAAGATAAATAAATTGGTGCCAATTTTTTTTTCACTTAACATAATGCAGAAATTAACTCCTTTATGTCAAGAAGATTTAATTCATGTAAAGTACATTTTCTTCTTTCTAAATCCAGTGCTTTCAAGAGCAGTTTTTGTCAATTTACACTAGAAATGGAAAACAAAATTCGGTTGATAACCCCAAATACAACATAGGCATTCTTACCACAGTGGGAGGTATTGCATGTAGTCCACCAATCCTAGCCCTTGGAACTTGGGTTGTATCACCAGCATTGTGGACATTTTCTTCTACATCACGTGTATATTCAGCCTGAAATAACAAATTGTTTTCCTTGACAAAATAGTTTGATGCAAGAAGTTCTCCCACAACTAAGAAATGCCCCTTCCCCCATCCAAGACCAGTTGAAGTTCCATCATTAGACATTTAATTAAGGATGGGGAGGAGAAAGCAAACACCACTGCAGCTAAGAAGGGAAACATCAACCATCCCAAGACTTAAGCCACAGACTGTACATTTATGTAATGTTGTAAGCAAACCCAGTCCTTTGACTTTATCATGTTGTTTAGATCATAAAAAGTGAAACATGTGGTCAGTGGAACTCTGATAATAACCGATAATAACTAAACTACTGTATCCAAAAATTTACCTGTTGTAATCTGTGAGCGAGAGCCTCATCTGACTGAAGATAGCACCTTGTAGATTGCCGGGAGGCATTGAGTCGGCGACGGAATCGCTCCATGCGATGTTGTCTATCAGACAGAAACCAACTGGGTGCATCATTTGGTGGAACCTGGTGTTGTGCAAAGGGTAGTCTCTGTCGAGATACAAACAAATTTTTATATGAATTATTCAAACTTATTATCCAGTATTTTTAATCCAAAATATTGAGAAATCTACTCTAGTTTATGTGTGCCTGAGATACTTTAAACTTCAAAAGATGAATTCATCCTCCAATATTTCAGAGAAATCTTGACATCCTTCTTGTAACAGTCAATTTACTATTTCAAAATGGTAAGAAAGGAATGATTTCATTTCTGGGGAAAGTTTTGCTACAATGAAGAAACAAAGAATTTTCTATTTGTTTCCTCTGCAAAGAGCAGGAGTTAAAGGTAATTGCTATAGGGTGGGATATAGGAACCAGCACCAGGAAACATAAGAATCAGCACCTGGCTTCCTTCAAGCAGGATAATAATAAGTTGTTTTCATGTGTTCCTTTTATCATGCACTGGTCCCTTCTACTTACTTTAATACAAATTAAGTTTATCCTAAGAAAAGTAGCCAATGGAAAAAACTAAGATTTCGATTTAAGTGCAGATAAAAGGTGATTCATGATACGGGCCAACTCAGTGTGAAGAAAATACAAGTAGTACCTCATCATCGATAACAATAGGTGTATTATTTTCACCAGAGGGAGCTGGCCTTGGTGCAAAGTCAGCAAATTCTGCTAATAATCCTTCATTTCTGCCTCCACCTGAAGGACCACGCTCAAATAAATTTGTGTAAGGGACATGCCTGCCTCGAATCCGACGTGAACGCAAACGACTTTCATTGAGAGGAAAACGTTGCCCTCGGGAGTCACGTCCTTGAAAGCGCCAACGAAAATTGGAAGCAAACTGTGCAAAGTCCTCACTAGAAAACATGACAAAAAAGGAGAACATTTGTTTCCTACTCTTCAAAAATCAATCTAAGCATGAACAACCTTCATGCTTAGATGCTAAATGTGTCCATACACTATTAGAGTCTTAGTTCAACCATGAAAAAAACAACCCAAAAAAAATATCAACATCACATAATTACCACAGATCCACCCTAACAAAGCCAAGCAGATGTGTGATGAAGTTTGAGTTAATTTTGTGAACAATTAAATTAATAAACAATGTAGAGTGTAAAAAACAATTGTACAAATAAAGAAGAAAAAATGCACCATAAATAAAATGCCAGTTGAATTTCTAATTACCAACCACATTTCATCAAAGATGTAAAGCTAATCCAGAATGCTAACTGGTCTAACTACATTTTTCATTTTGGTTCACCTACACTTTTAATTAAAGCTAAGTTTCCTCTTTTTTTATTTTGAACTCCAAATGTAAACCAAAAGGGAAATAATTTACAATAAGTATAGAATTGATCCAAAACATAGTCTCAACATACATACACATATAAACTTTATTTACTAGATGACATTCAATTTTGATTAAAAAAATAAGGTTATCACAATTAATAGAGTACATCTACAGGTACAATAAAGTATGTTAATCCATTCAATTAAAAGAGATCATTAGTTTTTCTTTTAACTGTCTGCCAAACAGTTCTTGTGATGTCAATTTTGGAGAATTTGGTGTTGGATCAACTCATGATATACTGGTATCTTGTGACGTTCCTCTGTTTCCTTTATTCTCATCCCTTGTCTGCTTGATATTGCATTGATATTGTAAGGAGAAATTCTGTGTTGATTACTAATTAGAGTTGAGGAGAATATTTTAGTAAGAGACTAAGGACAATGCACAATTTCTCACTATGGAGGAGGAGCTGCTGCATTTCCCTGTGTTCTTGCTGAGCCCTCGTCACCTTCATCTGGTGATGTAAGATCAATAACAGGGATCTCTGTGCGTTTAGGTGTCTGGTTTATAACAACTACTGAACTATCTGGTTCACTAGTGTCACTAGATGAGGTTGATACTGATGGGGAAAGATGTCCCGGATGATGAAAGTTTGGTATCTCAGCACTGGGTTCATCTAGGAGAACAGAAATGTCGCGTGGAGAACCAGGATTTCCTCTCATGGAAGATGATGTGCTTTCTGTATCACTTTGACCCATCCTTAAACCTAACAGAATGTGTAGTAAAATCTGCAGTTAGCGCTCTAGAAGTACTAAACTATTCCATTAAAATGTTGCATGAAAGATCTCTCAAAGTAAAATATTAATTTGCCCAACTTTCAGAGTGCCAGCTTTTTATCCCTGTCACCCTTCCACACGTAGGGCTAGTAATGTATAATCTTACAACAACCAGGGACTTTCCACTAGCTTGTTTATGACTTTTAGTTCCTATTACCCATAAACCACAAAGTCCGAGAACAAATCTCACCAAAATATAATTTCAACAAAAAAGGGCCTGAATGAACAGAACAGAAATTGCTTACAGAAATAACAGCAGTATTGTTTGGAAACTCTTATTTACCCTTTATACAAACGATTTATTTGTTTTCTTTTGGGGGTGATAATGTACATGAAATGCATTTACTTTGGAAGACCTTTCAGGTTTTCAAAATAATTTGATATCAAACAGAAAGCCAAAACAGTGTTAGGGCAAACAATGACTGTTTCAGCTTTCACCAACTTTGTCTCTGAGAAGACAATTTTAACCATCAAGATCTTAATATTATTGTCTGATTTGATTTCCAACTCTACCACAGCCATATTAATTCCTACTAAAAAGCTACTGAACGCAACTAAAAAATAAATAAGTGAAAATCAGTGCAAAGAAAACAACGTGGTGGGAACACAAATGTGCATGACTTCAGCTAGAACTTCAAATAATTTCAAGGTCAATTGAGATTGGTCTTGGGTATAATTGTGCTTAAAAATAGAGTTTGCGATATTCCAAGCCTAAAACATGTGACACATTTGAACGAAAAGGCGTCATGGAGAAAATACAGAGTATACCGGACTCTACTGAATGAGAATTTTTTTCCTTACAACCAGAAAAAAACGTAATCACGTCTGAACAGTCCGACGTTATACGCAGTTTGTCAGAACTAATCAACGAGGGGCATCGAATGAGGTACAAGAAAATGTACAAAGTAATAACAAAATCTACGAATAACATCCGCGGACAAATCTTTTCTTAAAATCTCGCGCATTAAAATCACTATGCAGCTGATTATGAAAACATCAGCTGCCCTCGAAGTGAAGAGAGCCGAGAACAATAAACATTCTTACCCAACATCGCTAAGCAATAACTACGTTTCTACAAGAATTTACAGCCGGCGGTTCCCTCTTGTGGCACCGTTTTCTATAGTAAGTTCACACTGTACGTTGGGGAAAAAATTTTGCCTAAATACTTCTTTTACACAAAAAAATTCCTTTAAACCCATAAGGAAAGGACAATTTTTTTTTCACATCAAACCTTTGTCTCTGTTAAATTCGAACAACGGATGTTCCAGCACGTAAACCTCTCCTCGCAAATCGATAATTCTCAAAGACGGTTTGCGATATTTCAGCAGATCCAGGAGGATGGAAAATATAAGGATACTAAAGTCTGTTTTAGCTATAGGGATGTGAAGAGAAATGATTATTTTTCCTGTCCACTCTTGCGTTTAGAGGTGAATTATAAAGGCCTTGCGTCATGAGGGAAAGACCGTGTTACTCAGATCTCGTCCGACGAAGATTCGCATAAATGTAAAACATCATTCACTCTATCTCGAACGAGTACGGAAACGTACAAATCCTTCGAATATACGGCAAATTTTCAGAAACACGAAAGAAAACGCCCAAATACGACACTTAAGAGCAACGAGTGATAAAAAGCTTATCATAACGACTTCAATTCATGCAAAGACCAGCGCGAACCTCGAAAAGGAGATACTTACCTGAAGGTAACGAGCTCTTGAAAGCTTAGTGTGCCGATTTCTTCGGGAAAGTTAATCCCTCTGCCTCAGTTTGTGCGAGAAAAAACAAAAAACGCTACCAAGGGCGCTTCTTCCGAACTTTTCACAGACGAAAAACCGTCACAAATTGAGTACAAAGTAAATCGACAACAATCGCGGTAAATTAATACATGAGCGTATTGCGCATGCTTCAAAAATCCGCTGACTCTTTGTGATTATGCATCCGCCGCATCCGCCTACTTTCCGCCCACGCGAATACGAGAGACTAGACTTACATATACATACCATCGGATACCAGATCCCGATGGTTGGTAACGATGACCTCCAACTTTGTTTTGAATCACTCATCTGTACGAAGTATAAAGATTATCTCTCGATTTTTACCCATCCAGAAGTGGGAAATTCCTCGTATTCCAACATGAATAATCAAAGTCTAGATTTCTGATCATAAAGTTGTTCTCCGTTCTTCCAAAGCACCAACACGGCAAAATAAATATTTTCATTTTCTGCCTCAATTTCCTGAATCCACTGGAAGAGGTCTTTCTTATGCAAATAACTCGTGGAGGATGGATGATCAATAACGAAACATAATATTTTCGAAAGAAAAAAAAAGTAATTTATGATAAGTGAGAGCACAGTTGCTTCTCCGCCGTTTTATGAAGTTAATTCGATTCCGTGGGAGTTTCACACAAACATTTGCAAAAGAATTCTGGCCCTATTTCGTGAAAGAGAGATGTGACACCCTTGTCCTTTAGTAGAGAGCAATACAATCATTCACAGACAACAAAGCCAAGAGTTGATGATGGAGCCACGAAAAGAAAGTTAGACACCCCCCTAAATGGTGCGAAATATTCAGTGCCTTCTTTGCTCCAAAGAATGCATCTTAAATTGTGTAGGAACCTCTGAGAATGTGTAAAGTAAATTTGAATAACTCTAAATGTCCGTAACTAGGGAACATAGGACACACGAAGAGCATGTTTGTCCAGAAAAAATCAAACAAAGAAGAACACTGAAACTGATTAATCATCACTTATAACAATAATATTGCGTTTTTGCCAAGCTTGCCACACTCTGTACTTATCAGTTGATGGTTGGCTTTTTTTTACTCTTAATTCGATTTTATTCTGGCTTGGCTCGCTTTTCATCATGTAAATATTTAAGCCGATCTGGAATAAGAAGAAACGGTGAGACTCAGTGTTATATTTTCGCGAAGATATTATTGTAGCGATTTTCTCGTCAGTGAAGTCAATAGCGAGTTCAAAGGGTTTCCCTTTTTGTTATTTAATTACATCTAGTTTATTCCCTCACTCCGTGAATATTTTTTCAAAACGTTTTGGCGAAATTTGCCGACAAGAGGAGATTTTTAGTGAAACAGATAAGAGCGGAAATAACACAAGATGTTGACTAAATGAGATAAAATTCGTAAAATCATATCACGTTTGACATCATAAGAAAATCTAAGTATATACTGATAAGGAAAATATAAATTGATTTCGCCATTTTAAGTGGCCTTAAAAAATTAAACTGAGACCATCGTGTCAGTTTGTTAAAAGGATGAGGGGCTAGATAGCGGATTTTGAACACTGTAAGGATCTCTTTTATATTCCTGAAGACTGAAAAAACCGAAAAGTAGCGCTAGGTAGTGATTAGTATTCGTATGTATGATATTTATGATTAATAATATTGCCTTTACTATCTTTCCGAACGCCTCAAAGTCGAAAAAAAGGCGTATTTTTATATAAATGACACAAACGGCTAAGCGGTGGTGAGAAATAAACACAATTTTGAAGGATTGAGGTACCATAAATCAAGTGAATAGGCTAACTTCGTTGTTTTTGTCGTAGTAGTTTTTTTATTAGAAATTTAATATGACATGCTTTGTGGGTAATTTAGCATAGCGCGCGAAATCACGTGATGCAACAATTGCATGTTGCCATCATGACAAAATATCCTCTTGATCTCGTAATTTTAATTAGGCAGATGAAAGCGTAACAGGCGGATCCGCGGAGCAGAAAAAAAAGCACTTCAGCGATCAACCATAAGTGGATTAGATAAAAAAAAGGTCATGTTTTCCAACCAAGGCGACAAAGGAAAGGAGAAAAGTAATCACCAAAATAATTCTCTGTCGAAAGCAGCCATGAGAGCAGCTGGTGGAAGGGTGAATCCGATGAAAACACCGTGCACCTTGCGATTAAAGCATCCGCACTCTGCGCACCTTGCGGAAACTAGTAGAGAGTCACATTTTTCAACACCTGAAGATAAGAAATGTAATTATGACACTATCAGTCGTCCCTCACCTGCTCTTACTAGTTCTAAACAAGCTGCATTAAGGAAATTTCCTGAGGCGAACATTTATCGATCATTCACGGAAGAAGAAGGGACTATTACAGTGAAGGGGGGTATAATGAGCTTAGACCCGGATCAAACAACCACAGAGAATGCTGCGACAAGCTTCACGAAACGGACAACGGAAACAGTCCACACATCTCGGATCATGCAACCGGCGACTTACGCGGTCAAGCGTTACGCTTTACTTAGAGGAATGTTAAGTCAGTAAGTGGGCTTTAAATTATCCAATACGGCGCCTTTAGGTCAAGGGTCGTAATAGAACGAGGCAGTCACAAAGACCAAGCGAAACAAAGTGAATGATACTGGAGTCAACTATGGGAACTAAAGCAGATCAAACGATAACTAATTATAAAACGTGATCACAGAGATCGCACGTGAAAATGTTGCAATTTTCTTAAGCTTTCACCTGCACAATTGCTTCATCTTTTTGAGTTAATCATAAGACAAAGTAAGGAAGAATCAATCTAGTTATAGATCACTTTAAAAAAAAAAGAAAAAAAAAATCACTTTTGCTTTTAACCTTTTCGTTAGCTAGGGGCTAAAAAATGAACAAATACTTATTTGGCTGACATAAATCTCGAGGTTTTTCAGTGTTTACACCCTGCTGTTTGCTTGAAGGAAAATAAGATATTACTATGTCAATAAAAAAATGCCATAAGAGCTATGCCATACGACTCGAGGACCAAAGCGGTCAAAAAATTTTTATCTCAGCACATAAATCAGTAATCGTAACATGATATTAGAAGTGCAATACTGTTAGACATTTTTTTTCTTTCGATCGCAAAAGATCTAGATTTGAAAAAGATCATGATGAAAAGAAAGATGGAAACGAAGGCAAGATGTCTCAGAATAAAGCTCGACGCCAACCAAAGAGGTCAACGTATGATACAATGCATTTAGATCAGGAAAAAAACAAACCTTGGACAAGAATGGATTCATTTTCCGACTCAAAAACAGTGTACGGCTCGTCGAAGGCAGCCAATGTTGGTTCCAGGAACGACGATAGTTGTGATAAAATAGGAACGCAGGTGAGGTCGCGATAAATAAAATAGCAATGCATAAAATTTGCAGTGCAAAACTTGCGCTTGATTAGAATTAATTTTGAAGGATAATTAGTCATGATAAGCAGTGAATAACTTAAGCTTGTTTAATCATAAGACATACTTCTGTTTTCTTGTTTTAGTTTCCTAAACGAATCTACATCCGGGAGGTTTCAAACGGCGCTTTTGTCGACGAAATCGTTGATGTTCAGAACGAGAGAGACTGGGAAGTATTAAACTACATGTCGCCATTACGTCACATATCATGTGGTCCACATGAACGCTCTCAGAGCCTTAAATTCCGAGATTTGAAAAACTTTGACGTTTATTATTACCCACATCCATGGAGATAGCAAATGATTTTTGCAAATTATTCATAAATGTTATTTTTAAACATGATCTCCTGAACAAGGGAAATGTGATATTTCAGATGGCCGAAATAGAGCTAACTGGGCCACATTACGGCCACAGGGCAATTGAAAATACTTAGCGTTTGATACAAGTCTGATATTGTATCGAAAGTATCTGGAATTGCTGAAATGTTTAGGATTTGATTAGCTGGCTGCAGAAGAGTGGAGACATCTCGCGCCTACTCATTTTGTGAACTTTTCACTCTTTCAAAACTTCGGACTTCTCTCAGACTCTGAAATTTATCAAGAGTTAAAAATATCGCCAATTATCCATAGAAACATTCCCTTTTCCTTGAACCAGTTAGCATAATAATACATTCTATCCATTATACGTTCTAAATGAGGCCCACATACTTCTCTCTCAGTTGGTAAGCCGTTGCTATAAACAGGAGTCATATTACACCTAAGCGCTGGTACTTACCCCAATACGGATACAACGCGGCCATTTCACTAAAGTAGTAATCTCTTAAGTGATATACGTGTAAGTATCCTTGGTCCCCTGAAATAGAACAAAACACGTGTAAGATTTATTATTTTCTCCAACTGATGCATCATAGAATTGCTCCGTTTACCATAGCGCATGGACAAGGCTTGTTATTTAGGAGTGCGCCTTAAAAAAATTGTACAAACTTATGATAATAAGTTAGCTACCTATCGAGTATTCCTTTGGAGTGGTCGAAATTACTGCGAGAAAACAAAAGGATTCAGCCAATGTATATTTACGTGTTATTATGTAGTTGAACCTTTGATTAAAATCTAAGCTCCTTGTCTCTCAAACGCAAAATTTCGTGCGGAGCGCTGTACTACTCGCTTTCAGCCCTCGCGCGATGGGAGTCCAAGTTTGACTTACAAAAAAAAAAGCGGGCTGTCAACAGGCTTCAGGTGAACCTTACAACAGAAGGAAGTGCTTAGTTTAGTTCTTATTGAAGTTTTCACGTTTAGAATCTTACCGAATTAAGTTCTTCCTAAGATCTCCGGCGGCGAGTAAGTCAACGTCTAAGGACTGATGTGGGACGCACGTTTATGTGTAGGAGAAAACATTTCGTATTGACAGACAAAAAGTTCTTCATGGAATATAAGAATCTAAGTCAGCCAATAAATTCAATATTAAGATGTTAAGTTGATTTTTAGTAAGCCGCCGCAACAATTGAAAAATGATCATCATAATCCTCCTAAAAGGAGTAATACAGCAGATTTGAGCTTTATACTCCTCAAGAGTAAGATCAAAGATGAAGTGCCTAATATGAGGCCAGTATAACTGCTTGTCAACATTACGGGTAGTTGATATCTGATCTGCGTTCCAGATAAAGATATTCGAAAGAAAAGCGGGCTGCAATGGTTTAACTTAGATTGGAGGAAAAAACAACGATAGCTTTAATAGAAATATCTAAAGAAGTTTTTCCTGTCAGTTTTGAACTTTTCAAAGACGATCCCTCACCTATGTATTTTAATTTTGTCGCTAGATGTCTACGTTGAAAGAGAGGCAAACGAATAATATTCATAAAATCTTTCAACCTCAAACAAAGCCTATATGTGAGACACAAGGATTTGAAATCATGATTAATTCTCTTCTTTGGGTGGCTAGCAGAAGTCGTGATTGCTGCCGGAAAACAAAATTCTTCCACGCTTTCATTAGTACATATCAAATTTGGCGTTAAGTTTTTTCATTCAATCGGTGCGGCAACATCTTGCGGCAAGACTGGAAACCAGTTTCCTTTGAGCTTTTAGGCCGGTGGTCTAATGGTCAGCGTTTTTGCTCATTATTACCGCGCTTCGGGAGACCGGCGGAAAGCAGTGCACCTATACAGGTGAGACTTTAACGTATTTCTCAGCTAAACAAGTTGTGCGAAGGGTTCTTTTATATTTTTTACTTAATTTGGAAACCGTGGGTATTTTTTCCGGTCAACCAGGCCTACAGATGTCCGCATGGTGAGCATGCATGCTTTGAAGAATGAATTACAAGGCAAGAAACATTCGATTATGAGGCTTGAATTTAACGCTTAACTTTATGAACAAAAAGTGTAAAAGAAATTACGAAATGAATCGAGAACTATATTCCTGCTCTTTTGGATTTGAAGCGCTTGCGTGTTACAATCAGGGTCCAGTACTAGTTGTTCAAAGGCCGATCAGCTCTAAGCCAGGGTTAAATTTTAATCCAGGTTTCTATACTTCTCTGTTCAAAAGCCATTTTGGGATAATTTTACCAATTCTTTTAAGCGCATTCAACCATCGAATTGTAGACTAATGGAATTAAACTGAAATTTCTTCCAAAGCTTTCAGATCTGAAATCAAATTTCACACTAATCCTGTGTTATCTTAACCCACCTTTGAACAACTCAGCCCAGGTCTTGGGAGTCAGAGGGTTAATTGAAAAAGGAGGTGTAGATGAAGTGGGATGTAAATTGTCCTCATTACCTACCATTATAGTGGCTTTAGCCTGTTTACTCCTAAGAGTGACCAAAAAGGAAATTTTCCTTACAATCTATATATATTTTCAAGGAACTAGATGATTAGAGGACAGAAAAAGTACCAAACAGGGGATACGATCTGATTTAACACCTAATTCTTACAACTTAAGTTATAAGTAAAGTAAAGCAGACAGTAACAAGTATTACAGGTAATATGTAGATCTCAGAAGCAAAAGGTTAAAGGCATGATGACAGTTGGAATCGTACCTCTTGATTGAAGCCACTTCTGTTGTATGGAGGGTTTTCGATGCTTAGTTTTTATTAGAAATTCACCAAGTGACTTGTTAAACTTTTTCCTCAAAGGGTCAATTCCACGTTGCGGACGTGACATTTAGAGGCAAAATTTGGGTATTAAATGTCTCCTAAAGCCAGATCCAAACTATTTGAATTGAAACGACTTATGTCATAAAACTACCCCGGAAGTACCTTTTATTTTGCCAGAAAACATTTTGACTATCTCTTAGATATCCAGAGAAAATAATTTTTCAAAGTGTGTTGCGGATGTGACTCCTAAAACAACCATTGATTTGAATTGCTTTTGGTTACTTCAAATTTCCTGTGAATTGAAAACCTATAAAAAAAACTGCATATACTAACTAAATGCAATAGTAATTGTGCTTCATAAATCTGAAAAGATATTATAGAAATTACTTGTTACCATGGATTTATTAACAAAAATGTTGTGTTGCAGAC